TGTGTGTGTGTGTGTGTAATTTTAAGGGGCGGACTAAATTTTTTCCCCCCGACATCCCTTTTACTCCTCACGTCAGTGCATCCTGCACCGAATTGAGGCAGGCTGGCAAACGGGCTTCGCGTCGGTCTCTGCCTGTTTGTGTGTTCATATACATATTTACTGGGTCATAGATCTATACTATTTACTAGACAGACAGACAGGGATTAGGGCGTCTATTGGTAAGTGCAGGAAAGGTAATTTTGCCAACAGTTTTTTTCCCTCTCTGATTTGATTGTTCAAATGGAGATCCCCCACCCCCAATAAGATGAAATGCCAGTTCACAAGGTGAAATCTACGCAGATCGGAGGTGCGTAATTCTTTGTCCGGCGCGGGGTTTCATGCACAGAAGACAGGGAGTCCTGCTAGTCCGGAGTGAGCGCTGGGGACGGTAAACGCCAAATGAATGCGGACAGACGCCTCCGTCAGCTGAAGTCTCTTCCTCCTCTCTCCAGCCGTGACTTGATCCTGTCTTTCTGGCGAGCAGCGCTTGCTCCCCAAAGTTGTCTTTCCAGGCTGGAGATTCAGGGCGTGCGCTGTCCTTGAACTGACCCTGCAGCCTGCGGGCACAGCCAGCGAGCAAACGGGCTGTCCTTTTCTCGAACCCGTCTCCGAAAGGAGGGCTGGAGGGTGCCCCCGAATCACGGCTGGGGCGGTAGAGAGGGAGCGCAGCTTGGCAATTCCAGTCTCCCACCCCGGCAGCGTCCAAGATAACTGAATAATCGTCCAGACAATTAGCCACTTACTTATTCAGCCCCACTTCTCGGCAAAAGAGTTTAAAGAAAGATTCTGCCTCTGAGAATGGAAAGGCCCCAAACACGTCCAAGAAAAATGCGGTGTTGAGCATATTGCATGGAGGGGAAAAAAAACAATGTTAGCGTCTCCAAGAAAGCCTGCCTCCTTCCTTCCTCTCTCTCTTTCTTTCTTTCCTCTCCCCCCTTCCCAGATCCCCCTGCTCTGCGTGCTGGCTCCGGGAGGCTGCTTTGGGACACTTCGGGGGGAATTCGTTCATTCCAGCCCGAGAGCCCGCAGGCTGGACGCTCTTTGCTATTCTTTAAGGCTCCAGTTCTTCTCTCTCTGCAGGAAACAGAGGAGCTGATCCAAGTTCAAAGTCACGTCGCCGTCCCCTCTAAGAAGTGCTTTATTTCTCTACAAACCGCAAAACCCCTTTCCCCATGTCACAGGGTGAAAAGGGAAAGAGAGAGAGAGGGAGAGAGAGAGAGAGAGCGAGCGAGAGAGAGAGAGGGAAAAAACCCCTGCAGTCGCTTTTAGGGCCATTGCCAGAAATGCAGACTTAAGCTCATTCTTTAGAAGGAAGAAAGCGGCCGGGCAAACGCGGTGGTAAAGTGTTTTAGTGAAATAAGTTTTTCAACAGGTCTCTGGAAGGTGCACGCACTGCAGTGCTGCCAGGCCCGCAGCACCCCCGGCAGCCTCGCTGGGGAGCTTCTTCCCTGCCTGTAAGTTGTTCCGAAATTTTCTTTAAGCCTGCTCTCCTCTCGTGCTTACGGACTGCTTATCCCGATGGGGTGAGAGGCAGGGCTTTTCCTCTCACTGCGTAGACCGTCTTCGTTTTTTACCGTCTCCCACTCCTTGGGGTGGTGATCATCAGCTTTCCAGAGGACAGCTGAGTATTGAAAGGGAGCCGGCACCTGATTGTTGTTTGGTCAGTAGGTTGCTGTTCGCCTCGGAAATGTGCGCCGATGGTATTGCAAAATGCTGCCATGGACCTTCTGCGGGGAATGAATGGTGGCGTGAAGCCGGACAGATATGCGTACGTGTACAAACTATATCTTGATGCATGTATCTTTGGGACGAGAGGAATGGGATGGCGGGTTGAAAGTGGAGATGCGATGCATGCTTTCTCTGCCAAATTCCAGCTTTGTTTCCCTCTGGAGCGAAGAGAGGGGCGCGGGCTGGGCTGAGGGCGAGGATGCTGGCTGTTTAACCTGAAAAGGACAGAGCAATTTAACAGAATCACTTGCCCCGTTGTCTGTATCACAGACACTCATAAATTCAACAAGATCATCAACAGGATATTAAGTTGCAGGTTACCTTTGATTTTGCCGATCTTAGCCACTTCTAGGCCGTTCGACCTATGACCCGTGAAGACCACATGTGTTGTGTTGTAGCCTCCCTCTGTAAAACACACTTCGGAACAAAAGTTCTTTGTCAGAGTTTCACAGGAGTGTAATGTAAAAGAAAAGGGAAATCATGAAAATCTCAGCCAAAGCTGTAACTTTTTAAATGCCATTTTTTAAAAACCACCACAATGGGCGGGGGAGCTTACAAAGGCGCACCTTTCTTTCATACCATTAAAATTTATTGTTCTCTCAGTTGTGCTTATAAAAAGTTGCTATATAAAAAATGCATTCGCCAGTGATTGAGTGAAACAGGGTAGGGCGCGTGTGTATTTTTTTAAAGGAATGAAGGATCAGTCGCGTAAAAGCGGCTCTCTGGATAATATCTTAGCAGTCCTGATGGTGCTGCTGCCCCGCGCTGCACGCTTCTTCGCTCGCCCCACACTTCCCCTCCTGCAGCAACATTTTTAATAACTGTAAAAATAAAAACCACCCCACCCAAGCTTCGGCAGGAAAAAGCGTGATTTCTCCCGATGCCCCTTGCCCGTACGGAGGTTGCCACGTAAAGCCTCGTGCCAACAGAGCAGCTTTCCAATAAAGCGCACTATTATTGCGATGGACTTTGTAATACGATTTATGCTGTCATTCATAAATAACAATGCCATATGGTAACCATATTGCTTATACAAGGAAAGCCGTCAAAGTGTCACTATTTGATTTATCTCAACAGCTTCTTCAAATGTTGACGCTCAGAAAGAGAGAAAAAAATATACACCGTTGTTTTTTTTAATACAGCGTTTCATCAGCACGGGAACCAGCCCAACACGACTGGCCTATGTTTTAATTTATTTGATTTGATTTGATTTCATTTTATTTTTACAATATTAGGAAATAAATGAGTGGGACGTGCACCTAGAGACCTATTAGGGGCGTTTATGAAGCGGGAGTGCACTAGGAATGACTGCTTCGAAACTTTGTGGCCAGAGCAGAAGTGAAGTTGGGCAGGAAGGAGCTCTCCCCCGGGTCCTCTGAGCGCCGCGCTCTGGTTTTCCCCATCAGCCCTGAGTCGCGGGACTGGCCGGCTGCAGCTCCGTGCAGAAAGTCGCTGGGAGATCCTCAGCCTCCTGCAGGCTCTCGCCTTCCTCCTTCCATCGCAGAAGGGGGGGGAGGGAAAGAGGCAGCAGAAAGCTAGAGTTTATCTTTTAGAAGAGCCCCCTCACGTGTAAAATCTCTGCTGCGGATCCGCTTGGGGAGCAAGGACCCGGGACTCCGATGGACTGGTTTGATTTGATGAGATGTGATATTTTTTTTCTCCCTTTTTCCCCTTAGGTGCCTGCGCTCCGCGCACTTCACGCAAGAACACATGACGCTGCATCTGGAAAGCTGGCCGAGGCAAATCCGCCCCTGCCCCGCTCTGCCTCGTGCTACCCCAGCAAAGCCTGCGGGGGGGGGGGGGCTC